TGACAATTTGTGATTTTAATTATTTTCTACTGTTAAAATATGTACATTTTTGTATTATTTAATGTAATTTTGCTAGCTATCTGCTACTGTAATAGCTTATTCAGTAAACTACAGCGAAAAACGATTTTCACGTTTTCACGAAACAAAAGTTGTTTTACGTCACGCCAATTAAGCCTCTTTTCTTCTATTATGTGGACTTTGTCTTTAGTGTTTTGAGATATTTTATTCGAATATCTAAACGATTCACTAAAGTATATGACCAAATATGTTTTGAGATGTCCCCTGAAAGAAAATATACTACATCACACATTTCACATCTAAACATTTGTCTGTGAATATGTTTATCAAATATATCTCCGTCGAAAGACAATTTCTTCTAGCTATTTACCGCATGGGTTACATCTTTACGGGTTTTGTGTTTGTTTTTGCGATTAAGATACGGTCTTGTAATTTTATCTATCACATTTACCCGGTTTTAGCACTTGTGTGTATTTTCATATGTACTTTAACATAACTTTTATCAGCGAACGATTTACCACAAATTTCACAGTGATGCTCCTTTTCACCAGTATGTATTTTCATATGTCTTTTGAGATGTATCTTTTGAACAAATGACTTTTCACAGATTTCACAATGATACTTTCTCTCACCAGTGTGTATTTTCATATGATTATGAAGATTAAATTTTCGAAGAAATGACTTATCACATATTCCACATGCATAGTTTTTCTCACCAGTATGAATTTTCATATGTGCCTTTAAGTTACATTTTAAAGAAAATGACTTATCACACATTTCACATGCATATATCTCACCAGTGTGTATTGTCATATGATTTTTAAGAGCACTTTTAGTCCAAATGAGTTATTACTTATTTTACATGTTTGCGTTCTCACCAGAGTGCATAATCATATGTTTTGTGAGGATTTGCTTCAGCGAAAATGATTTTTCACATATGTCGCACTTATAGTCTTTTTCACCAGTGTGTGTTAACATGTGATAATTCAGATGATGACTACGAGAAAATGATTTTTCGCATATTTCGCATTTAAATCTCTTTTCTCTGTGATGAACTGTTAAAATATGTGTTTTTAGATTAAATTTAGATGCAAATAACTTATTGCAAAGTTCACATCTATAATCCATGTTTTCAGAACAGTTTGTCATGTTTTACATTTTACATTTAACTACTTATTTCCCTTCAATATTTTTTTCTAAATTCTATTCATACCCGAAGTATTCAGTTATGATTTGAACAGACAAGAATAGAGGAAATTAGCGAGTAAGTGAACATGATTATTTACATACAATTTACTCCGAATTGTAGCAATAATGCGTTAATAGACTTACTCCGGAATTAGAAATTTTTGGGTTTTCCTTAGCTAATCCGTAGGTGTACAACAAACTTTTACAGTTATAGCATCGAAAATGAGCGAAACAGGTTGACTTATCTTTTGTGATATTAAGTGCAACGTGAAGCTATAACGGTTAAAGTTAAGTTTGTAAATACATGTTTGCATGATCTGAGAGATAAAATAAATTGCATTGAAATGGATAACGTCTATTGATATCGCGTAGATGTAAAAAGAAGAACTTAGAATATGTCGCCAACAGGGGGATAAAATACATCGATAATATAAACATCTTAACGAATGGTAACTATATTGTCTTTACAATAGAACGTTTTACAGTCTACGGTAAAAGATCTGACTGTACATTACAATAAACAGAACATAACTCATATTTCGTGGGGCGTCCTTGGCCGAGTGGTTAAGGTCGTTGGCTTTAAACCACTTGTCCCTCACCGCTGTGGGTTCAAATCCCTATAAATAAATCAATAAGGGAACTAGATGATTCTGTAAAGTGTGTCGGATCTGCGATTATTTGGTGCCTGTTATATGATGACAATAGATGAATAATTGTTATATTGCAAAATACTATTTATTAATGGCTATATAACCTGTCATGAATCTTTATTACCTATAATATATTATCATATGAAAAACTGAATCTTCTATATAAATTGACAAAAGCAGGGTATACAGTTTATATAAACATTACGATAATGCAATCAAAATTAAATTTATTAACATAACAAAAGAGCAGTATTATAAAACATGATATGCAGCTTTTTTGTTGATGTTCTTTTGAGTTAAACGGTGTACACAATTTGTGAACCATTTGTTCAAAGTAATTTAATGCACCTCCTTCTATATCTCAAGTTCTCAACACTTGACACGAGCATTTTTTTTATCATTCCATCAATACATTTAAACAGTCGATAATAAAGCTGATTAGACTTTAGCAATGCCAGTATGCACATCCGTTTAGTTTGACCAGGCAATGGTAGCTCCATTTTTTGTATTATCAAATTCCCCTACAGTTTAAAAGAACTGTTATAAAAGATTAGTAAGTTTAGGATTATTATGTTGTGTGACTTGCTTGTCATTGTAAAATGTATCAGCTTGGTGGGGCGTCCGTTGCCTAATGGTTAAGGCTATTTACTTCAAACCACTTGCCTCTCATCGCTGAAGGTTCGAGTCGCGCTAGCGTCTTCGGATTTGTTCATGTGAGAAAGTTATCAAGCTAGCTTACGGAACGTCGGTGGTTCTACTCAGGAGTCGTATTTCGCCTGAAATAATGCACATGGTGTCACCTGGAACTTTTTCCACAAGTAAAGTTTGAAAGTTGTCATATGACCTATACTACCTATATAAACCAAGCAAATTCTGCCAAATGTACTCGTAGAAGAACATCTCAAATTTTGTTTAAAGCATAAATGTGGTATGTAGATATATACTTGTTTTCCCAATAGATAGCCACATGCGAACACAACAGTAAGTGGTAACACATGGTAAAATTAATTTAAAAGTACTATGTTTTGGCATGTTTTGTCTTTACAGAAACAATTTTACAATTAGAAAAACAAAACATTTTTTGTCCAATATTATTAATATTACTGTTAATGAGCCACAGACTTTGACTAAAAAAATGGTTGATAACTTGTTACATGCCTAAAACTTTAGTACACTATCCCAATGTTTATATCTCAGTTCAGCTTCTTCTGAGATGCCATCAATTGCATTTTTCCTTCTAAACTTCGTTTTTCATATATCGTATCCCACTCAGAAGGCCAAGTGGGATAAAAAAAGAAATCTAATGCATTCCAATAAGATGCAGACATCGTAAAAACATATGACAAATTTAAAAAAAAAACTTTTTCTGCTCTTGGATTTTTATATATTGAATTTTTATATATTTGACTGTTTGTGACTTAATGTTTTTAAAACCTATTCTACATCATTTAAAAACAAGTTAACAAGCTACAAACAAGTTATTGTCAAATTTACCATATATTTGTATCAAGGTATTATCTTTTAAGACGAAATCTGTGGCTGTTTAAGTGGTCATTGCATAGCCATAATAATGTTATCCAACTTTTTAAATTACTTCTACTTATATAATTGTTTTGAAAGATTAAGTAGAGATACTTTTGCTATTTAAATCATTATATGTTTGAAGTTACCTAACTCCATGCGTGACACTATTGTTTTCGCGTGTTGCTTATTATCTGGTTAAAACGCTCATTTATCTATCATGCAACTATAAAAATCACATTTATACGCTGCACATTTTAGATGGACTTTTACAAGAACATTTGGTATTAGAATCCTTTGTTTGGTAGTTTTAATGAAGAAAGAATATTTTCATTTTATTTTGTTACCAGTTTATTTATGTCTCGTTTTAACTAAGATTGTATTTTTAAATTTGACAAATCGTCGCCTTAGTACAATAACGGAATAAGTCTTTCTCAATTTAATAGCAGTTAATCAGTTATTGCACTAAGGTGACGAAATGTTCTAGCAAAACTTAAAACGTATGTGTTAGTACCGATATTTGAGGAATTGTCTTTGCATAAGATATGCTAGATCTGATCATATTTTGTTATATCTATATAAAAAAAGAAACACAAATTTAATTGTTAAATTTATGATAAATTTTGCATAATAGAGAGCAACACTTTCTATATTTTTTGCAGATTATAGTTTCTAATTGTGTGTGCACAAATGATCTGGATCATAATAAAGAGAACATTATTATCAGAGACTTTGTCTTTGATTCAAACTAACAGATATCTGTTTTCATTAAAAAAAACGGCGACTTAAAATAATCTTCAGTGGACGCCGTAATAGCGAAATTGCACTGAACAAAGCCTAAAGACGCATTTAATGTAGTGTTACACTGTGAGGGGGCAATGAAAAAGTCATTCTTGTCTTTACTGTTTACAGTTCTTACTTGTTAAAAAGAAGACACAAGTTGTGAGCGATTTAGCAAATGAGGTTAATGAAGACACAAGTAAGCTATATGCTATATGTTGAGATCAAAACAAATACTGTAAATACTGTTGAAAAATGCTTGAAATCTTGTTTGACGATTTATGCCTTCAATTTATTCAAAACTAGCATTGTTGTATATTTATATTTATATATGACTTATTAAATGAACATCGCTCTTACATTTTGTTTTTTGAAAGAGCAAATAAAAACATTATAAGTGGATACATCTCATTAAGGAACAGTGTGGCGCATAAGTATACTAACTCTTTACTTCATTCCTTTATGTTATTGCCCTTTGTTTCTTTTTTGTCATATATTGTTTGGTCCATAACTTAAAAATTTTTAGAGATATTAATTTGAAACTTAATTGGATAGACCACAGTAAGAAGGAGTGCACTGTAATGTCAAGTCTCCACATCACATTTTTCGAGTTAACTTTATATTTGTTGGGCAAGGATTTGGAAGTCTGAGATTTCTTCTTAACAATATATCAACGACTACAACATTTATTGCTTGCCGCCATACAATCACATAGTAACATAGTAACTCTTTCTTATTGTGACACTTTTTAAAAATCTTAAACTATGTAGTAATATTCAGTCATGTACGTCCGATGAAAATGCGGCGCAACGCAATGTCATTGAATACTGTGTTCATTTGAAAATGACTCCTACTCAAACTTTACATGAACTGCAAGCTACTGATAAGTACAAGTCTGTGTCAAAGTCTCTTGTCTTTAAATGGCACAAACGATTTGTTGATGGATGGACAGAAGAACAGAGGGGAAATGCAGGGAGACCCAGAGAATTTGACGATCGGCTGATTCAGTCAGTTACGGACGCCATTAAGGAAGATCGGAGACTGACTATCCGGGAAGTTGCATTGATAAGCGGATGTAGTAAATCAACCGTGCATCGCATACTACACGAAAACCTGAACATGTCAAGAGTATGTGCTGGATGGGTACCGCGTTTGCTAAGCAATGAAGAAAAAGAAACGCGTGTACGACTGTCAACCGAATTTCTGCGGCGACATGAAATCGATCAACAATTTCTTAGCAAAATTGTAAGCGTCGATGAAACATGGCTCCATTACTATGACCCGGAAGATAAAAGACAATCAAGTGTGTGGAAAACAGCTGCTTCTCCGCCACCGAAAAAGGCAAAAGTTACAAAATCCATGGGAAAACACATGTTTATCGTGTTTATTGATAGGAAAGGGGTACTTCTCTGCCATGCAGTCCCACTTGGCCAGACCGTGAATTCTGCATACTACTCAAAGGTAGGTCTAAAGTTAAATTCTTTGTAATTATTATGGTAATAAATAATAATAATACATGATTTGATTTCTCCGTTATAAATCAGAATAATATCCTAAAGTTGTAATCACATTTTCAATATGAATTAATCTAACTAAAGTCTATTTTTTAATTTGTGTATTTATCAGGTAATCAGACGTGATCTCTTAAATGCGATAAGAAAGAAGCGTCCAGCGTTTAATTGACAACATGGAGAACATTATATCATCAAGATAATGCACCTTGCCATAGATCTCAGGAGACACAGCTTGAACTTTTGAATCTGATAGGGTTTTCAGAGACTTCCTCATTGCCGCCATACAGTCCGGATTTAGCGCCCTTAGACTTTGCAGTGTTCCTTATTTAAAATCACAATTACCCGAGGTTCAAAGGTTCGAAAAACTTTCAGCGAACTCCGCCAGGAAAACTCTACGAGTGTTGAGTACATTGAAAGCAGGACTATTTTGAAAACGTTTATAATAAATGGGTCGCCCGACACCGGAAGTGCATCGAGAAACACGGAGAATACTTTGAAAAACATTAAAAAATACTTATGACGTCATGACGTTCATGACGGCGTGCTCCGGGTATGTATAGGTATCATTTTTTAAATTTCGATAACTTGGTCAACTTTGGAGGTATTTTGTTTATATTTCGCATAGACATGCATAGAAGGTGTATTGACTTTTCTTTAGCTGGATTATTCTATAGTGTTATAAATGATTGAGTAACAGACTTTGTCTACGATATTTTGGGACAACCCTCGTAAGTGATTAATATTATCATATAAATAAAATCATTTAAACCTCTGACAAATTCAAATATCAAATTTGGAAAAGCGACATTTATAATGATTATTACCAAACACTTGTCGATAAGAAATAAGAAAATGTCTTAAACAGTAGACACAAAGTGTCCACATTGGTCAATGTAGAACGAGATTGATCCACAGATGTACCAATATTATTCACAATTCCGTGAAAAATAACTCATATCAGATCTCTCTAAAAAGCCACTAGCGTGTGTTAATGGGGTCCCATATTCCAGTATACATTTGTTGGAAGATCCCCCAAGGTTGAACCCGAGACAAGTTAGTTCGCCCGAGCATGCATCTTTACAAAACGTGACATCTTTGTTGTCGTATTCATTGATTTTGGTATGCGCAATTAGTCCCATCCCACGGTACTCGATGTATGTACTTCCATACTTCAAGCAATCTACAAAACATTGAAATGGATATTTCTAGTGAGCAATATTCGTTAGAACTGCAATGTAAAAGAGTTTCATATCAATAAGTGAAACTTTGTCTTTATATGCCGCGTAGCAATCCTTACATGTAGCGTTTGTTATACATCGTTTTTGTATACACAAAAAGGTCCATGATAAGCAAAATTAGATCGTTCTATAATTCTATTTATTTAGTTTAACAGTAGAGAAATATGACTAACATTAAACTCACAAGCAAGTGCTAGTCATGTATACTTGATATGCTTGTTTTCAGACAAATGTGTAATATAATCAAACACTCAACTGCAAGTGTCTCTGGTTCGTTCTTCGTGTGAGGCATAATTTCTCGGACAACTCGGAGTCTAATTATCATTTGTCTCTCACCGCTGTTTTTTTTTTTTTTTACTGTTTCTCAAAGAAAGTTGGCAAGGCGGATCGTGTGCCGCGATATCACCAAAAATGGTTTTAAATCGGCGTTAATTCGAGGCAAACAATCAGAAAACCGCTAAACTGGTGTATCATAAATGTAGTTTACAGGTGCATAAGTGACGTATGTCACACAACACACTAGCCAATGATTGACTTGACTATTTCTTAAGCTAATTGTCCGACGTGTATGCATTACCTGCTATACACGGACCAAAACTACACGTTATGTGTCTAGAACTAGACTGGTAATGCTTACACGAGCCAAAACTACACTAGTACATGCGTATCCATACAAACGTATGTAAACTTTTCCGCGATACACGGACCAGGACTAGACTGTATCAAAGATAAACAAGAGCTGTCGGTAGGACAGCAACGCTCGACTATTCTAGTGCTTGATAGTAAAAAATAATGCTTGATAGAGTTACCTACTCCTGTTTACAGGTTGGTGACATGATGGTGAACAAGTATGCAAAGTTTCAAAACCATATGTCAATGGACTTTGAAAATATTTGAGGTATTACAAAAAACTTTAACGTAAATTCTAAGTCGAAAAAGGGGCATAATTCTGTCAAAATGCTTGATACAGTTACCTCCTCCTGTCTACAGGTTGGTGTCATGATGGTGAACAAGTGTGCAAAGTTTCAAAGCCATATGTCAATGGACTTTGAAAATATTTGAACTATTACAAAAACTTTAACGTAAATTCTAAGTCGAAAAAGGGGCATAATTCTGTCAAAATGCTTGATACAGTTACTTCCTCCTGTCTACAGTGGGGGTCATGATGGTGAACAAGTGTGCAAAGTTTCAAAGCCATATGTCAATGGACTTTGAAAATATTTGAACTATTACAAAAACTTTAACGTAAATTCTAAGTCGAAAAAGGGGCATAATTCTGTCAAAATGCTTGATACAGTTACCTCCTCCTGTCTACAGGTGGGGGTCATGATGGTGAACAAGTGTGCAAAGTTTCAAAGCCATATGTCAATGGACTTTGAAAATATTAGAGGTATTACAAAAACTTTAACATAAATTTTAAGTTGAAAAAGGGGCATAATTCTGTCAAAATGCTTGATAGAGTTACCTCCTCCTGTCTACAGGTTGGAGTCATGATGGTGAACAAGTGTGCAAAGTTTCAAAGCCATATGTCAATGGACTTTGAAAATATTTGAACTATTACAAAAACTTTAACATAAATTCTAAGTTGAAAAAGGGGCATAATTCTGTCAAAATGCTTGATAGAGTTACCTCCTCCTGTCTACAGGTTGGAGTCATGATGGTGAACAAGTGTGCAAAGTTTCAAAGCCATATGTCAATGGACTTTGAAAATATTTGAACTATTACAAAAACTTTAACATAAATTCTAAGTTGAAAAAGGGGCATAATTCTGTCAAAATGCTTGATAGAGTTACCTCCTCCTGTCTACAGGTTGGGGTCAAGTGTGCAAAGTTTCAAAGCCATATGTCAATGGACTTTGAAAATATTTGAACTATTACAAAAACTTTAACATAAGTGGTTACGCCGACGCCGACGCTCGGGTGACTACAATAGCTCTACTTATTCTTATCGAATAGTCGAGCTAAAAAAGCCTGCATGGTTTTTGCTAATTTGCTACACACAAGCAAGAACTAGGCTTGTACGTAGGTACCCGTGATACACGAGTTAAATCTAGGCTAGTATATACTAACCCGTGACGTTCAGGCTTGCATGAAGGTACATGTGATGCACGAGTCAGTTCTAGGTTGGTATATACTAACCCGTGACGTTCAGGCTTGCATGTAGATACATGTGATACACGAGTCAGTTCTAGGCTAGTATATACTAACCCGTGACGTTCAGGCTTGCATGTAGGTACCCGTGATACATGAGTCAGTTCTAGGCTAATATATACTAATCCGTGACGTTCAGGCTTGCATGTAGGTAGCCGTAATACATGAGTCAGTTCTAGGCTGATATATACTAACCCCTGACGTTCAGGCTTGTATAAAGGTACATGTGATACACTAGCCAGTCAGTACTATATAGATATAAACTTACACATAATACACATGTCAGTACTAGAGTGGTATCGGTAACCTGCAACACATGAACAAAAGCCGTCCAGACATTTGCTGTTTACCATAGTGCAGTCAGATTCAGAGGCACAGACTTTACCATACTGGCTTGAAATTGTAGTTGTTGCTGTAGTTGTCGTCAGCGCCGCTGTTGTTGTCGCTGCTTTTGTTGTTGTAGCTGTTGTTGTTGTTGAAGTAGTGGATGTTGTACTGGTAACCTCTATAATATACAAAGAATAAGATGAGGAAAGTTTTTGTTTAATATCTCATAAAATATATCTTCGAATATTATAAATTTAACTCGTTTCTCTTCATTATAATGACTGATTCCTTTTCTTAATATCGACTTTCACCTATCTCTAGCGCCGCGTGACATCAATATATTTTAACTTATATGCACGTGTAGCCTTTGTTACTTGATATATTTCCATGGTTAATTTTTTACTTTGGATTTTCTTAAAAAACTTATTTAATACTCATGATTCTATGTAAGTGTTGATTCTTTAAAATTAATGTGCAATGTATGAATGTTTAAAATATAATCAATGGCACTTAAAATAGTTATTGAATTCTTTGAATACAATGTCACAATATCACAAAGATTGTAATAGTGATATAGATATATATGTACTTTCAGTAACAATGATGATGATGCTGCTGATGATGATAACGATGAAAGTTATAATAATAATAATAATAATAAAATAATAATAATAATAATAATAAAGAAATAATAATAATAATAATAATAATAATAATAATAAAAATAATAATGATAATAATAATAATAATAATAATAAATAATAATAATAATAATAATAATAATAATAATAATAATAATAATAATAATAATAATAATAATAATAATAATAATAATAATAATAATAATAATAGTAATAATAATAATAATAATAATAATAATAATAATAATAATAATAAGAAGAAGAAGAAGAAGAAGAAGAAGAAGGATAAGAATAATAAAAAATAATAATAATAATAATAATAAAAATAAAAATAATAATGATAATAATAGTAATATTGATAATGACGATGATGAAGACGACATGAATGATGATAGTGATGAAGAGGAATCCGACAATGATGGTATTGATAATTATAGTGATGATCACAATGTTAACAACATTAATATACGAATAAAAAATAATGATAAACTACCTGTGTTTTGATAATAATTAGTGCCAGCCATAATTTGACATCCGTCAGTATTGAAGATCATTTCTTCAGCTCCTTTGCAGATTTTATCCTGCTTATGATAAAAGAAACCTTTGCATGTCGTGGAACTGCTACACAGTGAGGCGCATCTTGTTCCTGTCTTTTGCAATCCAAAGTCCAGAACAGCAACAGGACAAAACATATTAGACAACTCATTCCTTTTACTGAACACATTATCGTCGAGAGGGAAAACACCATGAACAACAACACTCAAAATTATAAAAATATTTTTCATCGTTCTTTGAATTCAAGTTACTTGTAAAGGAAATTTATTATTGATGAAAATATGCCTGGTAAAGTTTCCAAATTTAATTTTGTTCGAACGGATGTCACGAAATCTTAAATTACACAAACAGCTTTAAACGTCTGTTACATAGTTAAATACTGTATCACAAAAATCCTTTTGGGCTTATCTTTGTCACTGATTATACGACACTCTCTTATAATGTTTTGTAGAATTTATTATCGGATTTATCTACCGTGACCCAACTTTCAAAAGAGGCTCTTTCCAATTGGATACTTTAAAAAACAAAATAAACATAGAAAATACTTTGATTCATTTTGAGACGTGAAGCTTTTAAAATTTTGTACAAATAGCCAAATGTTCGTGTTCCAATGTCACCGTTTTATTAGTGAAATCAGACATGTGAATATTATTTGTAATCTGTTCGAAAGGTAAACAAGTATTCGTTTGAATCTTAAAATAGAACAAAAGTCTATTCAATACTACGAAAACGGAGAGCGAAGCAAAACTGAACAATCCATCCATAGAAACTACTCTATCATCGATCATTATTTAACTTTTATTATTGCTTTAAAAGAAACCGATTTGCTAGTTAGCAAGAATTTTTTAATGTTTTTAAGAGACTCAACAAAATTCCTTGATATAGAGGGAAACCGTTGAGCATTATATATATGGTGTATCTTGCTAATTCATCGTATTGTATTTGTGAATATCCCGTATGCATATGATACTGTTCACAAGTAAGTTTGTAAGGAAAGAAAACGAACATATTTATAAGACATTTTATACTTTAAGATGTTGTAATTAAATCCGAGTTGACAGACAAAACTGGTACATTTGTACATGGTGCGGAGAATATAATTGTGACAATATATCATTCATGTGAATCAATTGATTATATACATGTATGTAGATGAACCGAAAGCCACGCTGCTGAGAAAGTATCGTTTCTTAAATTAGGTTTTGTTTTTCGAATGCCGACCAGTAAAATCTTTTACGTGCAGGGAAAAACCTGCATACTTTTAGCTATCACTAGTCTGTAATGTTTCAAATTCCGAACAGGGAACAGGTATTGAGTCACTACCAGCAGTGATTGTATAGTGAAAATGATTCCTTGCAACATAAATTAACGGTGGCGGTCGTTTTAATAGTGGAGGTTTACTGAACATTCAATACCAGTATAACATTTGATTTTAGCTGGTTAGCTGGTTGGACTGCATTAAATAGCAATTTAAAACCAAATCTGATTGCTCACACTGTATCAGATATTATTTGTGTTCTTGAAATATATTTTAAAAACATTCAGAACATATACAGTGGAGGTATAAATTGTATGCGAAACAATAATTAAGTTGAGTAATTTTCTATTGCATATATGACCATACAATATTTATAAATAAGCATTTATCCACAATATTCAAACGTGCTGTACACAAAGGGTTTTTGCAAAATTATCAGGAACTTCTTTAAATGGCTATGAGTTTGAATTAAAAGTTTGTCAATTTGTTGACGTTACACAATTTTTTGTGAGAATGAGTATTCAGTTCCAGAAATATTAAATACTTTAAAGAATATGAAAATTCCTCTGGGGCCAAAATGAATAAGGATAAAACAACAGGCATCTTTATTGGAAAATCAAAAGAAAGAACTCCGAAGATATTTAATAGGCGAGAAATCATGTTAAAACTTTAGAAATTTGACACGGCTATAATAATAGATACGAACGAAATCTGGAAAAAAAGATAAACAAAATTAAAAAAAATTGTCTTCAAGTATGGAAAGCTCGGGGTCTGACTTTTAAAGGGAAAATTCTTGTTCTGAAAACATATGTAGTTTCTATTATTAATTTTGAAATTGAAACGCGCGGTATACCGACAAAATACATAAAAGAAATCGAAAAGAATATGAGCGATTTTCTTTGGGACAATAAGCGATCGTTAGTTTCCAAAAGCACAATTCTCCTAGACCTGAAAGACGGAGGTCTTAACTTTTGTAATATTTCAAATATTCAAGCCAGTCTGGATGTTAAAACAACATACAAAATTATACACTCTGACATACAGAACTGGAACGCAATAGGAAAATATTTTTACAAAAAAATGATACTTATTGGTAAGACAGAATTGATTATTTTCTAAGTAAATGTTCTTCATAAGAAAATTTACCTTTCAAATTGAACATAAGTACGTTGAAAATTGAAGTCGGTTTAAAGCGAAGTTAAAGCCAAAGTCTCTATCAGATGTAAAAGATATATTTCTTTTTTGTTACTCTGAAATTCGTTTTCGCAAGAAAACATTATACTTAAATTCATTTATTAAAAGTAATATATTGTTATTAAAAGATGTTTGGGACTTTGAAAATAATTATTTTATTAGCATAGACACTCTTTTAAGGAAAGTAAATTGTACGCGAAATTGGATTGCCGGATGGCATATTCTCAAATCAAGCATTCCTAAAATGTATATAACTGCTTTAAAAGAACATCATTATGAAACAGTGTCGAATTACACTCACTTAGACGATATTGTTTTAAAGAGCAAGTCGCAAACAAAAATGTTGCCTGAAAATATTAAAATAAAACAAATATCTCATACATGGAATCAAAAGACTGGTTAATTGAAAAGTGAAAGTAATGGGAAACCCTACTTAATATGGAGTTACCATAGAGTAAAATATGGTGGCACGTTTATGATTCTTTTTCTTCATGCAAAGCTGTACAATTTCAGTGGAAATTTTAACAACGTTATTTATACAGAACACAAGCTGTCTCTCGTGAATTTATTTGACGGTAAACGTTGTATATGTAAATCTCACAGAGAAACATTGTTTCATCTCTTCTGGGAATGTGATTTTTCAAAGAATGTTTGGACATATGTAATTCAAAAACTTAAGTCCACTAAAATCTTGGAAAATGATTTTTCAAATTTCCAATTTACTGTACTTTTTGGATCTTTTGAACACGCAATTAATAATAAATTGATCAATACTGTTATATTCGAAACCAAATGGGCGATTTGGAAATATCGTAACAATTGTAAGCATAATTATTCATATCAACCAATACCTATTTTGTTAAGAAATTTGTCCAATAATATAAAATTCCAATTTGAATATAAGTGTAGAAAAAAAGACGATTCTGTGACAGAAATTTTTAAAATATTTGTAATTTGTATGAATATTACCTTTAATGTATGGTCGCAACTCAATTGAAATTATAGATTTAATTCATAAAGAGTTAACTCGCTTTTCAACCTTGTCACTTTTCGGACAAGTAAATGATACCTTTGCGAATTCTTATATTTTTCACATTATCTGTACTGCTTCTTATTTTGTAAGAAATCGAATATATACTTGTATTATTGTAAGGCTGATAGGAGGATGCTCCTCGACCCCTATCATGCCAATGACGGGGAAAATAAATGGGGTTACCCCTTAACTGGGCGCCCGAAACTGAAAAAAATATATCGGGGACTTTTCCTGTAAATGGTTAAATATTTAGCTATTATACTTTTTTTATTTCATAGCGTGCAGATGACGTATGAGTAAATACAGGTTGAAAGAGAAATGGTAAGTCGCTGTACTATTTAACAATTGTGTGTAAAACGACAGCGACTCGATCATGGTATACAGCATCGATAACATACAACGACACATCCTATATAATTATTCAAGCTTACTTTTGAATACAGATTAAGATTAATGTGTTGGTCATTTGTTCCAATGCTGTATTGGGGAGGAATGACTCAATAAGCGTACATGTCGTTTCCTTTGACTAAGAAGCATACTAAGCATTTCTGTACACCCAGTACACTTAAAAACATATATCTTATCAGTTTAGTAATTACGATAAAATAGAAAACAGAATCCCTAAAGAAAGACCAACAAGATAAAATTGAAAATGCTTCATTGAGCCTCTTCATGGACCGTACTGGAAAGTGCAAGTTACCGTCCACGCCCCCTAAACAGAATCCAACATTTAAACACGAAAAAATTGGGAAATTTTGAATTTAGAAACGCCCGCAGATGTGTTCATACGGCGGTTATCATGTGACACTTCCGTGCCATTCCATGAAAAGCGGCGTATGGTTCCCAAGTAAAAGAATGTGTTGCCCTTAACGGGAAAACAATGGGCGGAACTAAATAAAATGAAATTTTGAAAGGAGATCTGAGGTTATGAAGTCTGCATATCACAGACAACACGTCAGCAGGCAGCATATCCTAAGGGTGATTATACAATATTCAACTAGGTGTACTGGAAGGAACATTTTCGATTATTACCCCTCACTTTTCGTAATGTTAATTTCCCATAGGGAGTTATTCTTAGTGTTACTGCAAGTGTACCACGTGACTAAGAATTTTGTACTGTTACATAGGTAACAGTATTTTTAACCGTTTAAAATCTGGTCACGTGGTCTATTTTCTAAATAAAATGAAATAAAATGGCCGCCATTTTTCTCTCCATTCATTTTTTTTCGACGATAGGGCCTAGGGCATCAGTAAATTAACTTTGACTCTCATAAAATTTAGTTCTTTGCACCCAAGAGTTCTTTTCGCGTATAAAATATCTTTTTGTTGAATAGTCAAAAAGTAAACATCCGATTTCAACGCAAGTATTTGTAATGTGAATAATTTCGTGTCAAACTGGAAAATGCAGACGATTAAAGCATGCAAGAAAGGATTATTTAACAACTTTAACCAGTGAAACGTTACATAATTATAACATTAGTAAACAGACATCCGTAGGATATCATCGTTATTCTGTAAATGAACTTTGTCAAAAACCATGCAAAGAATATTCTGGATACGGAAGGATCAGATTTCACAGATCATAACCTTATAAATGGGTTAGTGTTTTGTTTTCCAAATAAAACACAGCTTATTGTATGTTTATGACTGGTAGATGTCATCACTTGCTTAAAGAATAAAAGAAAAACAGCTTCTCAAGTAGGCCTACAGTAGACTTAAAACTTGCAAGGTAAGGACAGTTTAGTTATTGCTACTCTTGGTTTATTTTTGTAACCGTTAGATTAAGTTGACAATTCCAGATCATCACAGTATTTGTTCGGGGTAATAAAATAAATAGCACATGGGTCTGTGTGTAACAGCAAAAATATCATCCCTCGTAAAATCACTGTTACCCTCGGCTACGCATCGGGTAACAGTATTTTCCTCGGGATGATATTTTTACTGTTACCCACAAATCCATGTTATTATTGTTATTATTATTGATGCCAGCACTATTTACTGTTGAGAATTGAGTACTGTTCATGCCGGTGCTAGGGGACGTGAGGGTTGTTGCATTTATTCATGATCCCTCATGTACAGACTCAATCAAACCGAGTCTGCGATTCTCGTGTAATTTTGTTGCGATTAATGCTTCCGAGGGATCACTTTGTTTCCAGATTTTTATACAAAGGGCAGGATGGAACTTAAGTGTTAATACAAAAGACGTACAACATGTTGTAAAACAAATATGTTACACTCTCGTGTCTGAATTTGTAAGTGAAATTCCAAAAGAATTCCTTTGATAGATCAAAAATAGGCACAGGGACGCTGTTTATAATCAAAATTAGTCCGAGTCGGTTCAGTTTCGTGTGTTATGTACAGCAGTATTAAATAAGGATCTTCTTCACCGTTTGGGGAAAGAAAGGACATTTTTCAATGTATTTCTTTTGATGTATTAACCTAGTAAAACAAAACAACACTGGCTGACACATATTTTATTGCTTGTCACCATACTTATACACAGTAACTATTTCTTAATGCGGCACACATGCATATGTAGTTATGTTTAATCGTGTTTACAAGTGATCATTTTATTAACAAAGATATTAAAACATCTGTCGAATTCAATTTTTCGAATATGCTAAAGTCACTTCTATAGTGATACATGTAATTACAAAACAAGTTACCAAGTATTAGCTATGTCTTACATTCAATACAAAATAAAATGTTCACATATGGTTACGGTTGAATGTGTATGATCCACAACACTTGATATATCATTCACAATTCCTTGAAAAATAACTAAAGTCAGTTTTCGCATTAAAAGCACTAGGGTGTGTTAATGGTGTTCCATATTCCAAAACACATCTATTGGTCGGGTATCCGAAGTTGAATCCCCGACAAGTCGGTTCGGCCGCGCATGCATCTTGACAAAACGTGAGACTTTTGTTCTCATCTGCTTGTATAATGGTATTCGCAGTCAATCTCATCACACGATACTCGATATATGTGCTACCATAGTTCCCACAATCTAAAATACATGATAAAAGTATATTATATTTTGTTTGGTTGGCTTTTACATCGCACCAATACTTTAACAGGTAATCTGGCGACTCTTCAGCTTCTCAGGAAGAGGAAGACAACAGACGCCCCTTCGTGCACTATTTCATGCACGAGCGGGAACTTGAGAAGTACAACCGATGATCAGTAAGGTAATTAGATAATTGCAGGATATGAAGCTCCAGCAGTGAGGGACAGGTGGTTTGATACATGTTTATTTATTTTAAGCAGATATACATGTATAATTGTAGAGTGTACGTAAATAATTAATATGTTTCCATTTTTAAAAGCAACATAATCTCGCAATTTTTCTGTTTAAGAAATTAATTCAACAAATAATTAAGAAATAAATAGAAAAATAAAAAGTTTTAATGAATTGCAATTCAAAAATTGAAATAAAACATGGACACTCATAATTTGCAGGTTGTATACATTGTTAGACAAGGCAGTTTCCTTTGTTTCCGACCATGTGTCCATCGTTGTCGTTTATCTTTACGTGTGTCTACTATAGTTCTGTCTCACTGTCCGAAATCATTATTGCTTGTTATTACAGTAAATAAGTGCCTTATTCTATTTCAACATAACTTGAAAAAGAAACGTCTATCGCTGTAGACCTTACCTGACATACAATCAAAGACAGGTGTACTAGTATTTAATTTAATAAAATAACACAAACCAATGCTACAGTGATATATTCAAATTAAATAAGGTACTTTATTTCACATCCGCTAGATACATAATCAAATGATACAGTGGTGTATTTGAAAATCTGGTTATAATTTTATTAGCATGACATACGTGTGAGACCATATCCAGTTCTACACTGTTGTACCCAGGGCAATTCTACACTGTTGTATTTAAATGTATTTACAAGTAAAATGGTTCCCTGCGGGGAACATTTATAAAGATTTAAAGATATTTCATTTAACTATTTTCAACATGGTTTGGGGAAAAAAATTAACGTTTGTATCAGGAATATAGTTGACAATAATCGATCAATAGAAGAAGGTCTTTGGTCTTGGTCGAAAATAAAACAATATTTCTGTTTAAGAAAATGATTTAATACCATTGTATGAATAATTCCGTGCAAAAAATAATAAAATAAAATAAAGTAAACACACAAGTTTACGCAGAAAATATCTCTATCTATTATGGCAGATGCCACAAACGAATGTTTTAATTCTGTGGATTTTCACTATAAACAATTTATTGTCTGTAAAATTCCCTAGCATTGTGTACACCGGTCATTTGAGAGACCGATGTGTATACAATGATTCCCTAGAGGTAAATCCGTAACGTACCGGGAAACGGTATTTAGCTAGGTTTTCGAATAGGTCAATTAACCAATCATGTACGGTTTACAGATCACATGCTCCTCCTTGTACCGAAAACAGGTCACGTGCTCCTCCATGCCTCAAAAATTAAACGCGTACCAATACCCTGCGGGCTCCGGCCCGCAGGGAATAACAGTTTAAGAGTTATAGTTGTCCGGTTAAATGTGGTATAACATAGTTTAGCATTAACATTTTGTGCTCACTGACTTTGATTTAAAGATATGATTGAAGGACAGTAAGAATCACCACTCGAGGACTTTTCATTGTATTGAACATATTGATCACATAGTATTGCGTAATACATTTTGTTTATGGAGAGAAGACACGGTGAATGTCCATTAAATTATGGAAAGGGCTTTGTTGACTTCAAATCATTTTTGAAAGAAGACCTTTTTTATGTCAGAGAAGCAATAAGAGAAAAGAACTCAGAATATTCGGAGAAAAATTTACTAAAATTCAAGAGGGTGCCAGTACACGTAGGTATGTAGTATATGCTTTTTTAGCGCACAAAAAGCACCTTTCTCTGTCGAGTATGGACCCCGAACATGTCACCATTCATGTCATTAAAAAGTTCATTTTAAGCCATAAGTGGTGGTAATTTATGCAATTTACTCGGAATATTAGCCAAACATATGAATTTTAAGCGAAAATAAGGTCACAGTGCGGCAGTCAATGAGAACCTAAATGTACAGTAAACTGAGACAATAATAAAAGGAGGTAGCCCTTAAAAGGGACTTTGGTGCCAATCAAAACCGTCTATCTTTGGTAGGGGCTCACGCTCTCTAGCACACATCCTCGTTGCCTCTGCCTATATCGTAGGGTCACTGCTCTTGGCATTAGTCAGGACACAGGCAAGTGGACCGCAGTACAAATTATCATCTTTTTTGCGCCATTCAAAGTCATCAAATTTTCTGCCAATGCCTTCTCAGCCACGATCACGCTCCAAGGGGAAATGATAAGGGTGCCAGTTAACGATTACCTGTTGTCTTTAAAAACCAGGAAATAAACGACAGTTCGATTTCAATTGTTTTTTAAAGTCATTAAGCGAGTGCAGTATTTAGTGAGGCCGGAAGAACAATTAAGATCGCCTCAGTCATTTGTGCAAAAAAATAGGAGAAATAAATTCATAATGTTATCAGGCAAATTAGCAGAATTGGGAACGTCGCAACACATAAGTCCGACAAACCGGCAAATTATAGCAAAGATGATTGTAAAAAAGCAGAGACTAGGACATTGTGAAAGAAGAGAATTTGTGGTCACTTTTGGAAACTCCAATGCTTTTCGTGCGCAGGTTTAGGTAATGTCAGGGCAGAATGTCACAGTCTAAACAATCTTCACAGTCTCAAAGGAAGAGATATCACCCCGTTCCTGGCGACAGCAAAACGTCCCCAAGTATTATCACTTACAAGTCCCTTACTGGAATCAAGGGTGACAATCGAGGAACGTCAGTAAATCAACAGCCGTAACACTGATGAAAGACAATCTATTGATATAGATGAGTATTCTTCAGCTCATGGTATAGTATTGTTTGTAATATTTAAGTATATGAAGTTGAAACTGATGTTTCATGGTCACATTAAAGATATTCTGAATTTCAAAATAGTGTTTCTAAAGATGATTATTCTGGTGTTAATACGGATGTTAAGGGAATGTTGCGATTACATTCTGATTATTTGTGTAATCTTTAAAGGCATCAAATTTTATTCTTAATGTAGTAAAAACGGTACGTCATACCCTTTAATAATAATGCTGAAGGATATTTCATAAGAAAATGATAATTCTGCAACAGATCATTCAGACGTAGTTGCATGCCAGCCTGTGTTAGACTAGTATATTTATAATAATGACTTCCTATAACAAACTAATCAGAGCTAGCCCATTATTTTTATGACAAATGACAGTCACATGAGCAAGTTTTAGACTTGTATCTGGTATATGTACTAACCTGTGACCTTTAGGCTTGTATACAAGTACCTGTGATACTCAAAACACAAGCAGGTACTATATTGAAATAAACTTACCGGCAACACACAAGCCAGTACTAGACTGGTATCTGTAACCTGCAACACATGAGCAAAGACCATCAAGACATTTGCTGTATGCCATTGTACAGTCGGATTCAGAGGCACATATGTTACCGTACTGGCCTGAAATTGTTGCTGCTGTAGTTATCGACGTCGTCGTTGTAGTTGGGGTAGTGGATGTGGTAGTAGTTACCGCTATAACATACAAAATTTAATATGAAAACATTTAAATTTTGACATTAGAGATTTATAACTTTTAATTTTTAATTCAATTGACTTTCAACATTATTTGGGCGTCCGTGACTGAGAGATAAGAGTTGTTGACTTCAAACCACTTTCCCCTTACCACTGTAGGTTCGAATACCTCCAGCTAGCCTACGGAATGTCGATGGTTCTACTCAGGTTCGTGTTTGAAATGATACACTAATGGACACCTAAGGTCGTCCTATAGCTATATAGCTGGAATGTTGCTATGTGATTTTAACATTGTTCGTACGACGTAAACCCCAAATCCCCAACAATATACATATTTCTTGTTTAAGATATGTTCTTATTTTATTGACGACTTTAAACCAACCATCATCGACGAGCGGCATCACATATTTCAGAACAAATAAACACGTTGTAGTCTTCATGACGTGATATAAACAAAGCGTTCATAGTTCATATATTTTCTCTAGATTTTCTTGTATTGTACTTTTGTGTCGCCTTTTTTCTGCATATATAAATATATAAACTGTTAAAATAAAGTCAAGTGAAATCGTGATTAATTCTTTGAAATCGCCGACATAACACCTCATAATATTAATAATAATCATAAAATTACATACACTTTCAATAACAATGATAATTATGAGGATGATGATGATGATGATGATGGTATTAATAATAATAATGTAATTAATACTACTAATAATCATTATGATAGGTGCGACGCCGCCGACAACGATAATAATGTTGATGAAGATGACGATGATGGTTATAACAATTATGAGGATGATCGCAATAATAATGATGATGATGTTAACAAAATTACTTTGCGAATAAAAAATTCTAATAAACTACCTGTGTTTTGATAAAAACTTGTGCCAGCCATTATTTGACATCCGTCGCTATTGAAGATCATGTCTTGAGCTCCTTTGCAGATTTTATCCTGCTTATGATAAAAGAAACCTTTGCATGTCGTGGAACTGCTACACAGTGCGGCGCATCTTGTTCCTGTCTTTTGCAATCCAAAGTCCAGATCAGCAATAGGACAAAACATATTAGACAACTCATCCCTTTTACTGAAAACATTGTCGTCGAGAAGGAATACACCAGGGAAAACAACACTCAAAATTATAGAAGTATTTATCATCGTTCTTTGAATTTCAGTGACTTGTACAATAAAACTTATTATTGATGAAAATATGCCTGATGTTTCCAAACTTAATTTTGTTGAAAGGAAGGGCAGGAACTCTTAAATTCTAAAATCAACTTTTAACGTTCTTCTTGGTTTATCTTTGTCACTATGTCTTTATGACATGACAGTTTTAAAAACTTGCACAAACAAAAGCATTCAAACTAAAGGTCTCTGTCACAATTTTATTTCAATGCTGTGATTTCTATGTGTTATTGTTTGGAACTGTTGGAGCAGTAAACAAAATAGTCGCTTTTTAAATGGAAAAAAATCAATACGGAAACGATAGAAAACGAAGACAAAAATGTCTAACATGAAACGGAAGGTGACATAAGAAAGACCGTCATTCCGAAGTAGCTTCTAGATAATCGATCATTTGACATTTATAGTGCTCCAAAAGAAATGAAAATGTTTTTGCTGGAAAGGCACTGTGATGCCGCATATAGCTCCCAACGAATATAGATATACATTACTACAATTGCAACGAATATAGCTCCTAACAAAGTGTAGCTGTATACGTCATGTTTTTTGCATATGTTTGTGTTTTTCATACATATATATCAAACAGGTTTTTCTCAAACATTGTACATATATCATCACCATCATCGTATTCATTATCATTCATTACCTACCAACTTATCATTATCAACATCATCATCATCATCATGAGTTCAAAGTGATCATCCAAGTCATCATCATCATCATCATCATCAGTAAGTATGTTTCAACATCACTTAAGTACATCATCTTATTCAGCAGAACAAATCAGTGCATCTATATCATTATCATCATGTGTACATTATTATCACCATCATCGTCATTAGCATCATCATTATAACCATCGTCATCATTATTACCATCGTCATCATCATCATCATCATAATAATAATAATAATAATGAGTAGTCATATAGTCATTGTCATCATTACTATCATAAGGACATCATATCAGCGCAATATCATCATCATTATCATCAACAACAGTACATCACAACAACAACTGAACATTATCTTCATCATCAACATCGTCAGCATCATCAATAACCTCATCACTATTATCATCATCATGATTATCGGAACGATCATCATTATAATCATCATCGGATTACCATCATCATTAATACATCATAACTATTATCATCATCAACGGTCATCACCAAGATCAATTCGAAATATCAGAAAACTCTTATTCATAATAAAAAAAATGATGATTGAACAGATCAAATTATATGTATTTTTGACTGATGCTTGTTTGATGTAATTTGAATTTATGATTTGATAATTATAATGATGATATAAGCGATAATTAGTATCTTGCAAAAAGAGGTGATAATGACTTCGTGATGATTATGATGGTGTTGATACATCTGATGATAAAGTTGATAAGACAAGTGATTATACAGACAATTTTAACAATTAACTAATATGTGAGGATGATTGTTCATGATGATGATAATGAAAAAGTTGATAATAATACTGGTTTTGATGGAGATGATGATGATTTTGACGTAGCTGGACGTAATAATGATAACGGAGGTGATGAGAATTTGAATTTTGATTGATGGTAGACATGATGATGATAATTTTGATAGATTTGAAAAATTGCGATTTTTACTCCACCAGTAAAGCTGGAAAGTCGCCATATGATCTCTACTGTGTTGGTGCGACGTAAAAACCTAAGAAAAAATGGATGATTTAGAGAAGGCGATGGCAATAATAAATATGATTTAAATGACAATGCTGATGATTTTTTATGATGATGGGCGTGATTATGAGTTTAATTGTGACACGTTGTTTCTCACTTATATAAAAGTTAAAAATGCTACGATTATTTGATAAATTAATAAAACTATAAAAAAATAAAATAAAAAAGAACTATTTGTTTAACATCCGGTGAAAGAAAACGTTTGTCTTTAATGTCTGATATGTATGTGTGTATTGTATTTCAATTAATCTAAATTTGTTTTGTTAATTGTTTGTATTTTCCGTGTCTTATTATTGTTTATGATTGTATGTCATTACAGGAGCGTATTTTCCATGTAACTATAACAAATTCTGTCAAACCAACCCAGTGCTTTTGTTTTCACTAACCATTAAGTAGGCCGGCAACAGTTATTCTTAACTAATCTTAAGCGCCATGCGATACAAGACATCATAACTTTGTTTGACAACGGGGTATTTAAATTTTAGGTAATGCTCAACGATTGGTTAATGATTGATGGAAAAATATATTTGTCAAAAATTGATTTCAACCTTCAAATTGACGTCAGTAAATCTTCAGTTTTCTGGAAAAAATAAAGCCTCATATATTACACAGGATTCTTCATATTTGTTCATCTTTATCCCTATTATTGCTATAGAATTTGTTCAACTTAAAATTCATGCAATTCAATTCAAAAGTTGATTGCATAATGTATATAAATACAATGCCTATAGAAAAATACCACGCCTATTCTCCGGTGAGTTGACATAATTGTTAAAAGGTTTCTTTCTATTTAAACTATTTTATAAATACCGGTAGAAGAAATACTAATTGATTTTTGTTTTGAAATAAAGTTGTTTTAAAAAGTTAGACAAATAACAGATTCCATACTTCCGGTGTAAGTCACCGTTGCATCATTTGTTTAAAGCCGCTGTTTTTTAAAACGGAAAAACATAGGTCGGTTAAATTTTGAAATAGAGGCGTTCAAATATAGAAGAGGAAACGTTTAATGGGGAACCGGATGTATTATAACAGGCTGTGTCTGGGAAAAAATCTACAATGTACTTAGTCATCGATAATAAAACGTTTATAAAAACACATATTGATAAAGCGTCTTATATTTGAAGATTTCCTAAATATAGGTGAAAAAAATGATGTTTGATTTTTCCTTCACTAGAGTGCATTGTTTTGTATAAAATTCACTTTTTATTTGCTGTATACCTTATAATCATTGTTAACTGTCATTACTTTTACTTCTTCACAAATTCGGAAAACTATTGCCGATTATTTTGATAAAAATGAAATGAAAGTTTTCATGAAAAGTACAAAATGTAGGTCAATATTTAAAGAAATTCTTCAAATAATTAAAACCAAATACAGGCGACGTGTATATGTCGACGTACAGTGTCCAAAATGGTCTATGATTTGTTTTTCCAATATTTATTTTCCCAAATCACATTACTTTTCTTGTTTTCTAATTAACTTTACTTTTTAATTAAACCTTATGTGACGTTACGGGTAAACACTAATTACATTCATTATTTAACTCCTTAACAAATGTAACCAATGACCTTTCAGTGTTTACACCACGTGATGTTAAAACTAGAAATGTGTCATCATGCCACGGATGCCCCCGCATGCAGCCAAAATTTCAAATGTTATAATATTTAGTTCCAAATTTGTTTGCAAAAAAATTTTTTTTTTCATTCTATGTTCAAATTCCTTAAAACTTTTCAATGTTAACACAAACCATTTTTATACAATGTTCAAGGCACTGAAATTATTCAGTCTTAACCTTTTTAAAGTAGCATGTTGCATATTTGTAGCCAAAATAATGGCTTTATACATTTCCACAAAAGTTAAAGTGCTGAAACTAAAAGTTCAAAATTTTTCCAACATTCAGGAAAGATAAGTTTGTCCAAAATCATTTGGCAACGACCAAATTCCAACTTAAACTGCTTATTCCTAAGATGTATCTATATCATTTTCAAAGTGAAAGGGACATAACTCTGCCAAAAAATCATCGAACCATGACCAAATTCCAACTTGCCCTGCGCATTCCTTTGACATATCTATATGTCAATTTTGAGTTGAATATGTAACACTGTTGGGTTGATAATGAACAGAAACTGTAAATTTCCTATCATTTTCAAAGTGAAAGGGGCATTACTCTGCCAAAAATCATTGAACCATGACCAAATTCGAACTTGGCCTGCGCATTCCAAAAATATATCCATATGTCAAATTTGAGTTGAATGTATAATACTGTTGGGGAGATAATAAACTGAAACTGAAAATTTCATATCATTTTTAAAGTGAAAGGGGCATTACTCTGCCAAAAATCATCGAACCATGACCAAATTTGAACTTGACCTGCGCATTTCTTTGACATATCCATATGTCAAATTTGAGTTGAATATGTAACACTGTTGGGGAGATAATAAACGGAAACTTGAAAATTTCATATTATTTTCAAAGTAAAAGGGGCATAACTCTGCCAAAAATCATCGAACCATGACCAAATTCAAACTTGACCTGTATTTTTTGATGACATATCCATATGTCAAGTTTGAGTTGAATGTGTTGTACCATTGGGGAGATAATGAACGAAAACTGAAAATTTCATATTATTTTCAAAGTGAAAGGGACACAATTCTGCCAAAAATCATCAAACCATGACCAAATTTGAACTTGACCTGCTCATTTCTTTAAAATATGCATACGTCAAATTTGAGTTGAATATGTAACACTGTTGGGGAGATAATGAACAGAAACTGAAAATTTCATATTATTTTCAAAGTAAAAGGGGCATAACTCTGCCAAAAATCATCGAACCATGACCAAATTCAAACTTGACCTGTATTTTTTGATGACATATCCATATGTCAAGTTTGAGTTGAATGTGTTGTACCATTGGGGAGATAATGAACGGAAACTGAAGATTTCATATTATTTTCAAAGTGAAAGGGGCATAACTCTGCCAAAAATCATCAAACCATGACCAAATTTGAACTTGACCTGCGCATTTCTTTGACGTATCCATCTGTAAAGTTTGAGTTGAATGTGTTGTACAATTGGGGATTTAATGAACGGAAACTGAAATTTTCATATTATTTTCAAAGTAAAAGGGGCATAACTCTGCCAAAAATCATCAAACCATGACCAAATTTGAACTTGGCCTGTATTTTCTCATGACATATCCATATGTCAAGT